CACACACACACACACACACATCTGCAGAACAAAATGTAGATTCTAGACTTTTCCGAAACAAACTTTCTCACCGTCGTAGGAAAGTTGATGTTGGTCCTGACTGCGCGATTGTAGAGCGGACTCACTGGTCGTGAGTTCCCGTTCGACATCTTCATGCGTGTGTCTGCCTGCTCCTTCTGTAGCTGTCTCAGCGTGTCTAGCTTCGAAACACCAATAAACACACAGTTGAAAATACATCACGCAACACCCGTTATAGTGAGGGGATGGATCAATTCAAGAAATTATTAGTATGAGTAATTATCTCAGGATACAATAGAATGTTGCAGTATATTAATAATATTACTGCATACACGAATATTTTGTATTTTGTTAATATTAATATGTTATTCGTCTACCGATTTTGTTACATGAATATGATTCACGTACGCAGAATAAACAGCCGAGAACATGACAGGCATTATCACATAATGTCATGGCAATAATAGGTTAGGTTAACAGTATCTTATGAGATATAACCACAGTTTGCCATTTTCAGACAATAACAGTGGGTGGTTGGCGGGTGCTCTGCTGTGGTTTGTTCTATGTTTCCAATCAAACATCAGCTATCGTCTTTACCCCTCCTTAGTCTTTTTTTTGGTGTGTTTTGTCACTCTCTTGTAACACTATAATCTTCGGCTCTTATAATAATGACCTAATTGTGTTGCAAGTGTCGTCAAACTCTTACAAAAACAAAACAAAACGAAAAAGCTTACATCGGTATCAAGGGGACTATAAAGTAAGTGACTGTAAAGTTAGTACTGATGCGATAATAGGGTAGGTCAGAGTGTTTTTTTTAAAAATATCTTTTTAGAAAGTGTTCTACAGCACTTACAACATAATAAGGTCATATAAGTGCCGAACATTACGAGAGAATAACACACAAAAAAATGAAGGAGCAGAGATAAGGATGATATATGTTTGATAGGAAGGAAAGAGCAAACCCCACCAGAGCACCCGCCAACCATCCGCGGTCAGAGTGTGACATTAGAATTTAAGTGACAATTAATTGTGTTGATAATAAAGTATGATGTTTACTGAAATATGACCGCAGTTACTATTTCTAAGCTGTGAACATTGATCACTATAATTGAGTATGGAAGAGGAGGAGAAGAAGGTGGTGGAGGAGGAGGAGGAGGAAGAGGAGGGGTAGGAGGCGAAGAAGAAGAACACAATATTACATTAATGATAATAATAATA